GTCGCCATTTTTATTTCTCTGTTGTGTTGTGCTGTGTTGTGTTGTGTTGTGCTCTGTACTATATTTTGTTTGTTTGCTTTGCTTTGCCTGTTGTGCCAACTGTCAAGTGCACAAATGCGCGAATGTAAACACAAGTTTTTGTGCATACTATGTGTTGTTGATGTGTGTGCGTGTGTGTGTATGCGTGTGTGTGTGCGTGTCTAAACAGTTTCTGCACGCTAAAATCGCGGGTTTGTTTGAAGAGCTCCGCACGTGGCTTTCCGATTAGCTCAGACCTGGAATTTATGTAGAAATTTATCAGATAGCTGCTTTATATATGCCAAAATTTAAAAATCTTGATTATAATTATATTAATAAAATATATGTACATATACATATATATAGACTGTATTTTCTTAACAACAATTCAAATTTGATCAATGGGACCAATTAGATGCTTGGCCGCGGGTTGATGTTGAAATTGTTAAGCTTGTTCAAGATATCGAAACAGCTTACTACAACATATATTTGTATATACTCTATTTTCTATGCAACAATTACAATTTGCTAAATAGTTTCAATAATAAGTTCGAGCTTAAAAGTCATTTGCAAGATATGGCAACAAACGAAGAACTGCATACAGAAACTTTATTGTCAAGCGCATGCTGCCGAGGCAACCTTATATGTATACAATAATATAAGTTGAACACCTTAAGATCAGCATAGTGACAAAACTAATGTGAAGGATATCTCATAAAAGAGAGGTAACAGTGAATACTTTGGCGAAAAAGCTTCAATCAGAGCTGGGCAAGCAAAGTCTTTGCCCAGTTGCTTACTTTTATTCCAACTATAAGCTGGACATTCACATTCCCATTCACATTCACGTCTCCTTAGACATTTATGGTTCCATAGCTTAGCGATAAATTAATAAGCCCTGCTAGAGTAAAATAAGTTGTTTACCGTTTTCTACCGAAAATAGGATTCCAAATTGGTGTAGGATAGACTCCCGGCCAGATTGGGGCTAAGCCGGTTTCGTGTGAGCTCTGCCAAGACTTTATTGTCAAGGCTATCGGCTTGGAGTTCATGCGTATGAAAAGAAAGGCAGACAATCGCCTAGACATGGCCTTATTAGCCGAGTTGGAAATTCATATGTTAAAGCAATTATATCTACGCATTTCAATAATTTGACAAGCAGCTTTGTGCAAATGAAATTCAATGAATTGAATTAGAGTCAATTATTTGAATGAATAAACATTTAAGATTCTGGTTGAAAAGCTCTCGAAATCTCGTAGCAATTGTTTCTGTTTTGTAAATGTACTGCCATTAATTAAATGATATACGAACTAGCTAATTGATTTGGTAATTGTTCACACGCCCCGCTGGGGCAAAGGGCGGCAGCGATGGTTGTGAGTATGTGGGTGGGTGGTGTTGGCATGGGTGAATTTGGGGCCGCATTTGATCCGCTTGGCCCATTAATTTTGTGGGGCAGTCAAAGCTTCGTCATTCTCGTGGCATTAAATTATTTACAGCATTTGTTTGGTTATTGTTGTTGCTTTAGTTTTTGTGGCAGCGTCAAAGCAAATATTTCAATTCATAATGCACACACATATTTATGTAGACCCAAATGTGTGTTGCTTGAAAAATAAAAATTGTTGTGAAAACAATCAAAATATTGTTTAAAGCTTTTGTCGAATTATTTATAGAGTGTTTGCAGTGCATGTAGTTTTATTTATTTATATACATATACATATATATTTTTTATTTGCATATTGCCGCAACAAATCGCCAGCAATTAGACTTATATGCTCTTTTTTTTAGTTTATAAAATTATGATGATGTTTCTAGTTAATCGCAGAAGATGTTGATTGTTTAATTGTTTGGCGTCCATGACACCAAAGAACCGCACGTTGACGGCCACGCGGCGTATGAGCGATTTTTAATTAGCTGCGGTGTGACTAATAAACAAATAAATACATTCTTCTTTTTTCTTTTTGGTTGTATTTTCATGGGCGAGCTCTTCAAAATGTAAACAAATTTATTTAGTTAACAAGAAGAAATTTATGTGTTTTGCCATTTGTTGGCGCAAGGCGAAAATCATTTACATATCATTGGATGCCTACGTAAAATATTGTGCACAAATTTGCGAAAACATTTTTAAAATTAATTTCGAAAATTCAACCAAAAACACACAGAAAATGATGTGAAATTGTTTGTGACTTTTTGACTTTTTGATTTTCATATTTTTATTGCTTGCTTTGACAAAGTGAAATCCGTTTATTGTTACAACTTAATTAATGTGCTTCGATTTGGGACATTTCGCTGGCCTTTGCTCGGCTTTTGCGCTGTAAAATATGCCGGGCCCATCATTTATCTTATATGGCTTGATTTATGTGCCTTTGCCCTGCGGCTGCTTCAGGCTGAAGGTGGCTTAGGGCAGTTGAAGGGGGTTGCAGGTGTGTGGCCTGATAGTTTTGCTTTTCTATCACGCTTCTATGCGCGCCATTTGGCGGCCTTTCAACAACATCAGATTTGCTTTTTCTTCTCGTAATTCGAGCATAGAAATTAATTATTGTGCACAAAGTTTTTGTTATTTTGTTCCTTACATATTTATATTTATAATATGGTATTAGCTGAATTAACTATCTCACACAGCTCCCAATATTATTTATGAATTCGTAAGAAAGAGTTCCTTATATTCAATCAAAATATTGTGGCCACTCAGTATTACCTTTTGAATCCTTTAAAGATCTTAAGAAATACTAATGCTGTCTTCTTTCAACATCGATACAAAGAGCTTCGATAGTTGCCATATGTTTGAGCGCCTAAATTGAGTGGATCTACTAAGTTTAAACTCAAATATGCCAGATAAATTTATTGATAAAATGAGAAAAAATTGCCTCCACAAGTCTATCGATAGTATTATCGTAACTATCGAGGCTGTATTAATGCACTTAAAGCCTTAATATGCCTCGAACTGGTCCATTAGCCATATATTATAGAAAAAGGGCAATCAAAGTGAACCCGTCAGTCTGTCGTACGCGGGCCGTAGCTCCATTAGTCTGCACGGAACATGATGTGGAACAAGTTGTAAGTTGTCAGGCTCGTTAGAGAAATGGCACCAGATCCGAACGCTGGCATTTCGATAGCCGGCAACGGATTGGTTCGCATAGAAGCTGCCTTTTTTCGAATATATATTTATATAAACATATATATATACATATATATTTGTATGTATATATATATTCTTCGATTGAAGCGCCTTTCAGCTGCATGTTGGGGTGGAATCTGCCTCAGCAGTTGGCTCATCTTGTTGCCACTCAAAGTCTGGCCATGGCATGAGTATCAGCTCTGCATATAACTGAAGTATACCATATTCTTTTTTTTTATTTTTTTTTCAACTTTGTTTTCTTTGTTTTTCTTGGCAGCGCCTGTTGCTCATGTTCAGAGTAAAGTTAAGTAGATTTTTGGGGCTTAAGTTGAGTAAATAACACCATGGCGAATATCATGATTTCTAAAGAAATTATTTTCACACTCTGTAAAAATAAACAGCCATTTGGTACTCAGTTAACCAAGTTGAAGCCTGACATTAGTCGTGTTTTTCAGGCCAAGTCATCAAAGGATAACACACTCCTCGCTCACCGCTGTTTCTTAGTTCGGCAAAGGAAAAAAAACACTGATGAAGGCCAAAAAAGTGCTGTAGTGTGTTTTATATATATTTGTTTTTACTCGTATATTACACTAGCAAAAGGTTTTATCGTATTATTATTTTGCACTTTATATGTTATATACCCTACGACATATACACTAACTAATATAAATAATAAGGGCACAGTTAATCAAAAGATGTAACCTGCGTTTATCATATTACACTTGACAAGCAAATGGAAAGACTAAGATAGATTTTGCTAAAGAACATGCGATTTTCATTAATGGTCACTTGAAGGGTATTCAATATTCGATTAGTTAAAATTTTTAAATTATTTTTTAATTTTTATTTTATGGGCATTCGGTTCAGTGCTGCCTTGGTCCGTTTGCTAAGCGTAAGCCATAAAGGAAAAGCAGTCAAAGCCTTCATTCACAACTGCATAACATACATTTTTACACAAGCGCAAACATGTGTATAATACAACACACACACACATATACGTATATGTGTGTATTACAAATGTAAAAGTTTGAAAAGCAAACAGTCCAAAACACAGCAACAACTTAAAGGGCTGCTGGGCCGTTGATTTAGTTGTTGCTCTTGTTGATGTTTCAAAATGTTTACAAAAATTTAAAAAACAAAAATAAAACACTTAAAAGGAATGTGAATGAAAAACTTTATTAATTGCCAGCAAATTTTTTTGAGTCGTCGCTCGTCGTTTCTTGTGCAATTTGTTTGTTTAGGTAATTAAAAATATGGCCGTCTGTTGTTTTATTATATTTACGAGTTTAGCTGCTCTGTAGTTTATGCTGCTGCCAGTAACAGCAGCAACAACAGCAGCAACAACAACAAGAGAAACGTTGATATGGAAGCTGCCAGTGACGTCAGAGATTCATCAGGCGGGCCACAGCGGCTGCCGTTGGCGCCCCTTTATATAATGCCCATTTCAGCGCTTAACATGTCGTATGCGTAATGCCATTTCAGCTGGGCACTGGGGAGGCTTACATAAGATGTGTCCATAGGCGGCAGCTGTCCGACTAACGCCAATGCCAGCAGCAGTTAAGCACGTGTTTCTCGGCTTGAGTGTGTGTGTGTGTGTATATGTGTGCGCGAGAGTGTGTGTGTGTGTGTGTGTGTGCGCGCGAACATAGAATTGACACAATTGTCGGCAATGTCAATGCCTTTGGCCCAGTCATGTGCACAGTGAAACGCGCACACTCAAAACGTTTGCAAATTATATTTGAATTATTTCGATAACATTACGCTGCTAACGATATATATCGATTGGGGTAATTCTTTTATGCTATGCTAAAAACATCACTCATTCAATTGACTTATATATTTTTAATTTATTACAAATAGATAAATGCTTCAATAACGTTCTATCGCTTGGTAGTTATTAGAAAAACCGAAAATTTCATAAATATATCACAATTGTGCTTTAAGTTTCTATTTGTGCCATAGTTTCTATAGTCTATATCGCGCATAGGTTGCCAGCGACAAAAGCTGCACAAATACGCTTCCGTTAACATAGCTAAGAGCCGCTTTAAATTAACATTTGGCTTAACATTGCTTTTGAGCAGTTTTTGCTGGTTTTCGAACCACGGCTGTTGTATTTCTGCAAAGTTGAGAGGGGCTACGAAATGCGCAGACGTCACTCTTTTGAGTTGCGCTCACTTTAAAACTCAACTCAAAGCACGCCACTCAACGCACTACAGATTCCACTCAATGCTTCGTATTTAGCCTGGCGTCTCTTGTTGTTGTTGCTGTTGTTGTTGTTGTTTCTGCTGTTGTTGCGTTTTCTGTGCTGTGTTTTGCATCGTGGGTTGCCCTTCCCGTGGTGGCTGCTGTTGCTTTTATATAATTACATTGCTTTACCTTCTCCCCTTCTTTGCGCCTCCTGCTTTTTCACTGTTTGGCTTGTTTTTGGTTTTTTTTTTTTTGTCTTTTTTGGCAGTTTGGCCATTTAGCTGGTGGCATTGTTACCTTTTGGGCTGCCGCCATTTTGTTTTGTGTGCCGGCAACTTGAAGCATCTATAAATTGTAATTAAAGCGAATAGAGCACAGTTTTTTTTATTTTTATGTAGCACTTACATGTGGGCGAGTGTGCGTGCCTGTGCCTGTACCTGTGTGTGTGTGTGTGTGTGCGTGCGTGTATGTGTGTGTGTGTGTGCGTTAAGCACATTAATAGTAAACTCTTCGAATACAATGCTGCCCAGGTCGTTGGCAAACCTGCAAGCAAGCTAACTAAACGGATTGCCTTGGCGCCAAATTTTGTGGGCGGCAACATCGTCGACAACAAGACACAATAGAGTAACTTTTAATTCGATTACTCAACGTTGCAGCTGTTGCATGCAGTTACACTCTGGTGGCAACATTTAAATCGACAGCATATACACCTGTCTGTGGCAACTACCATTTGATCCTTATGCAAGTCGACAAGTGTAGTTGGATTTCTGCTGAAATAAGCAGCTGCTTCATATACAAGTCTGTCTACTGGGTGGCCTCTATAATGGCTAAGAACTCGATCAGCACGACTTCAACAAATGTCCAATTCGTAAACCTGATTTGACTTTTAATATCCCTTCAAGATAATTATTCATAATCTATATATAGTTATAATTATTGCCTTCATTAATGCGTTACCGCGATTTATGTCAGTCAACTTGTCAATAAAAGCTTTTAATGCTACTTCTGATGTCAACTCGACTTGATATGTATAAAATATTCTCGAAAAGCCAGCATCTGTAATTAATAATAAACTTTTAGAAAAGTCTACCAACAATTTTTATAAATAGTCAAAGCAAACTGTCAGTGGAAAAGGCGGAGCAGCTGCAGCAGTCCGGACGGACTAAAAATATGAGTTAAAGGTTAAGTTAGTTGATATTCGCATCTGAATGCCAATGTAAATTGCTGTTTCATGGCGTCAGTACGAATGGAATGCTGCGTATGTTGCTGTTGTTTTTTGTATAGTATATAAATAAAAAGCAACATCTAGTACACTTACAGGAAGCCGAGTTGCAGAGCTGAGGTCCTTTTGTGAAAGGATGGAGAATATGTGACATCCACGGTAACAGTGGCTGCTATTTTTTTATTTTTTTTATTTTTTATTTTCTATTATTTTTTGCTGCACGTCCTTTGGGCCGGATTCAACAGTTTGATTGCTGTTCGTACAACATACACCACATACAACGCGCCAACGCACACACACGCATACATAAACACAGTCACATACAAGGACATCATTTTCGTTTTATAGTTCGTTAGCATTGAATTCAATTCCATTAAATGTTTAAGTGTAGCTTTGTTTACAAGTCTGTTATATAGTACAATAGCTTTTATATGGAGACTTGAATATTTGCATTCGATTTGTCAGCTGGGAAACAATCATCAACACATCGTCGAATCCATTTACTCGCTTCCAAGCGATTCAAATTCGTAACCCTTTGTTAAATCTACAAAAACAATAAAAGAAACTGCTGCTGTCGATTGATTTTCCAATTGAGTTGTAGCCACACAGCAAAAAAATATATTAAATCGAAATAAAAATTAGAATTTGGCAAAAAATGGCAGTTGCAATTTTTTGTCCCAAACCTCTTCGGTGTTCTGTTATCTAAGCCATTGTTGGACATAATTGACTGTTGACAAGCAACGGCCACATTTGCAGTTTCAAATTGAACAAATTTGATATGTCTACCTTTTAATATTTCGAAAAATGGCGCACAAGCAAAGATTCCAAAGACGACCGCCCATTTAATGACGCTCTCGTTGAAATATGATATAATAGCCAAATATGTTTTAGGCATCGGAACGCCTACAATTTTTAACGAGAAGTAGGCACAGATCCAGTGGAAGGGGGATGGGCTTGTAGGCCAAGGGCTGAGACATAGATATGGACACATTGATACCCGCTTGTCATGCAAGGGCGGACAGGTGGGTGGACGCTTGGGGCAGGCAAAACGATATACTGGGAATGTAGACAAATCCAGGACATGGCACAAAAAGTATCAAAAAAAAAAAAAAAGAAGGAGCAAGAAGAAAAGCACAAGCCAAAGTGCAATCGAACATTTTGTTAATATACTTTATGAGTTTTGTCTGCGCGACGTGTTGCTGCCTCCCAGCCATGCCCCGAGGGCCATTGAAAGCCAAAGTGTGGCCTCACCAAAAATGGCAAGAAGGAAACAAGTTTACAGAAAAAAAGTTACATCCCTAAGCCAACCTCGAATGCACTAACGAAATTTGCTAAGAAATTGCGGAAATACGATTTAATTTTGCATTTGTTAACAAAGTCACAGGATTTATTCTTTAAAACTTGACTATATTCCGAGAATAAAATATTATATTTATTTATTTATTTTAATTGAAATGCTCTTCTTCGAATCAATGCATATTTAACATATTTATAAAAAATGTATGTACTCTATGTAGTGTTGTAAAACGAACAAAAGCTGTCACAAACGATAGTCGATAGGCAATGCTATCGATAGTTTGTATGCACTGCTTGTCACATACTGCACAGTGCAATGATAGTACACAAAGCCTTTGCTTAGGGTATGCTTATTGACATTCCCTCAAGAAAATGTGACAAGTCGACTGATTGACTGACTGACTGACTGACTGACTGACTGTCGTTGTGACGCACGTATTGACAGGCGATGTTGGCTTCATTGTCATCTCTGCCTTCGCTTTTCATTTTGCCTTCTGCTTATCCACCTGAATGTGGGTCCCCAGTGGCACCGAAAACGAAAAAAGGGAGGAAAATGGTAACTTTTACTTGCCGCCTCCTCGTTTCAATTTGGGCATTTTAATATATATATATATATATATATATTTATTTATTTTTTGGTGGCCGTCTGGCCTCTCCCACACGCCCAGTCCACTCAGCCAGAACCAACATAGTTTATCGTCAATTCTTTATGTTAATGGCAAGCAACCGCAAAAGGTTTTCCACCGTGTATATACTTAGTATGTTTGTGTTTTTTCGGTATGTTAAAATGGCAAATGCTACGACGCTGTTTGGGGAATTGAAAGTAAATAATAAAAAAAGACTAAGGGCCTAGCTGGCAGAGTGTGGGTGAGGGCGCTTAGCTGATGTTTGGTTGTGGCTGAGCCCACCGAAAAAGGGTTGATTTACTTGGGGTCAGATCGTCAAATACACTTGAGCTGTGCGCCAAAGCCTTTGCATTTCCTGCCCAGCTAATTGGTCATGCGATACGAATGCCGGAGGGAATTTGGCGCCTGCCCAGGGCCTGGGCCTGGTTTGGCCTGGGCCCATCCCGTGCCCCGGTGCAAGTAATTTCCGTCAAGTTCCAAGTTCAATGATGACGACAATGGCCGCCACTTTGTGCCCGTTTGCTGATGACGTGCAAGCGATGCCGATGCCGATGCCGATGCCTGCATAATTTGCTAGTCTCCGTTTTGCCGCTTTGCCCGGCCAAGGTGTAGCTGCTGTCATTTCATGTCAATGGATTTCATTTTCATGCGCACAAATCAACGGATATTGTGCAGTGACAATTTCCGCCAGCTACAAATATAAAAAAAATAGGGGGCGGGCCAGTAAACTTTTCGTACAAAGCGACAAGTTAGTCAGTTAGTTGATAGTACGACGGCAGCTCCGTACGGTCGACGCAAGTCTAGGCAAGCAGCGCGTGTCTACGAGGCAGTCGTGCGTCATCTCACGTCTCGTCATGGACGCTGTCACCCAAGCCAGTCACTCAGATCCTGAATGTGGACCAACGCTGATGACTGCATAAAGCAACTGGAACTGGGATTGCTGTGCTGCTAGCCCGTTAAAGCCATGAAACACCGCTAATTGCAATGAAAACGCTTGTTGATTGCGCAAGCAGAACACGATGGACAGAGCTGGAGATGGAGACGGAGCCGTAGTCGGACTTGGAGCTAGAGCGGCAGCAGCATCTTCTTAAGACCAGCAAGCCATCACGTAGAGGAATCTGCATTTTAAAAGCCTTAACTACGTTCTAGCTGAGTTAAAAGTTTTCGATTTGGACAGATCTCACAGAATGGCTGTCATATAAAATTTTAAATTTTCTTGGAAGCTTAAAATATATATGTCGATGTATATATTTGGATAGATAGGTCACTCTCACGTTGAGATATTGTTTAAGTGTATTTCGATATCTTTTCTAATGAATCAATTCCTTAAAGGATTCAAAGGATTGAAGGTAGTCTACTCTATGCTTGTGCTTCTTATAGCCTCTGCTTAGATGAATATAAATATTATATGATATGTGATACTCCTTCAGGCGTATAATCTGCAGCTATTTGGCACATGCTGCCCCCTCTTTAGATACCACATACCTAATATTATGCCCAGTTACTTGCCTAATTGGCTGTTTGGGGATTCGGCATCAGGAGATGCTCGTTACATTTGTTGCATGAGGTTTTAGTCTTTTATGGGCTTTTGTATGTAATAGCTCTAGAGCGTATTATCTACATGAATAAATTTAAGATAAAATCCATTTGGACTTTGGATAGTGCTTTATTTGGCCTCTATTTATTCACGCCACTCGATGGCCATTTTTGGTCGAGTTTTATGCCAGTTTTTGTAATTTTTAATGCGCTTCCCGTTTATACACATCCAAACACAAATACACACATATATCTAAATACATGTGTATATATATTGCCGTATCGATTGTGCGCTGGCGTTAAGCAAAGAGCATACCCAAGCCACATGCTGATAGAAAATTCCGTTTGAGTGCAAGGACGCGTTCCTCCAAGGGACTGAGATGGGCACAAAGCAAACAAAGAAAGCAGCGAATCCACTGCCTATTCTTCCATCCATTTCTCAGCCTGCCTGAGTGTCTGTCTGTCTGTCTGGCCAAAACAAATAATCTTTGGCTACTGCTGCTTCAAAGGCTTACCATATTGTATCTCTAAGTCTAATTTGTCCTGCCTTGTTGGCGACTTCTTGCCCTGGCGTTTCGGTCTACTTTAGTTGCACTAAAATTTCGTTTATTGCCAACCGGGGAGCTGTTAAATCGTCAAAGGCAAAGGCCCAAGCAAATCGCCAAGAAACTGTGGAGAAACACAAACAAATCCCATTTTTTCTTGTGAGCGCGGCACAGCCTGTTTATCCTTGCCAAATAATAGAGCTGCCTCATTTCATATTCAGCCTCAAGATATTTTCTGGTTCCGGTACGAGTCGTTCGATAAACGCGTTATTCAATATAGAAATTTCATTTCTTAAAATGTACCTGACTGACTGATTGACAGACTAATAGGTTGACTGATTGACTGACTGATTAACTGAGTGACTGAATAATTGACGAACTGACTGATTAACTAAACTTAGACTGACTGATTGCTAGACAGACTGAATGATTGATTGACTGTCTAACTGCTTAGCTGATTGAATGTTGATTGTGTGACGGACTGATGGCTTGACTCACTAAATGATTGACTGACTGATTGTCTTACTAATTAATTGACTGATAGACTGCCTGATTGACTGCCAGATTGACTGACTGATTAACTGTCTGACTAACTGATTGACTGACTGATTGATTGACTATCTGACTATCGGCCTTACTTATTGGCTGACTGACTAAATGACGAGCTGACAGACTGACTTATTGATTGATTGTGATCATTGCATATTTTGATTGTGGTAACTTTATGTGACGAAAGTGTATGCTAATCCGCCCGAAATTGTGAAATATTGGCGGAAAACGGCTTTTACATTTTGTGCTAAATATCTCAACAGCTTTAAGCTCTTAAAATATGTATATATATTTTGTATTTTGTTTCAACCTTAAGAAACTCAAGCCAAACGATTTCGTTCATAAGTACACAGCTTTATGCGCTCGAAAATACATCAATGGAATCTTTTGTATCTATGTGTGCCAAACACTTTCCACTCAATGCTTGCTAATCTCTTGTTCTATTCAAATTATTGGGTATTCGTAGACGGATTGTCAGTTCTTAGCTGGCAATACTGCCATGAATGCTCTATTTTGCAGTGGTAATGAGCTTGTGAATGCGTCTGAATGTGACGGAATGTGTGTGCCTTTGTCAATTTGTGTGTGGGTTGATCAAGCAATTGATATAATTGAGATTATGCGCTCTAATCTATGCCGAGAGTAAATTATATGGTTGCTTTGCCATCGAAACCAAACTGAAAAGTGCAAATTGTATGGCACAGCACAAGGCAAACCAATTGAATGGCCATATGATCTGCTAGTGGAAGTCAGCCTCCCAATTGGCACAGCTTCAGAAATTAGAATTGGAATTGAAAAGCTGAAAACAGGCAAGGGGATTTTAAAATAATTGTATGTTTTTCTAGGCTATAAGCAAATAGGTGCCTTCTGCAATGGACTTTATTGCAGATTTTAAGTTGACTTTCATTCAACTTTCTTTGTTAACTCTCTTAAAAAGTCTTATATAAATAAGAAATGAAATTTCTGAGGAAACTTACGTGTTTTGGACTTGCTTGCATGGCTATAGTGCTTGAGCGTAGGACTAACAATCGGTAGGTGGCCGGTTCGAATTCAACAATATTTATGATTTGTATGTGTCTAAGGCAGATTGCTGAGTCGTATGGTGGATATTGAGGCGGCATCTTATCAGGCTGTCGTTGGTGCGTTTTTGAGGCCGAACAGCGCCGAATACTTTCGTATATGATTGATCGAATCTATTTTATCGAACAATTAGCTAAACTTATTGCCAGGTTTATCATCTTTTTTTTTTTTTTTTTTTTTTTGCGATTTTCGTTATTTCAAATTGAGTTAATTAGTGGGCCAAGGTCAACACACCCGATCTGAGGTCCTAAAATTTAATAGGTTTATGGTCAGGCGCTGCATTTACCATATCTTATCAGACTGGGAACATGTACACATAAATATATATATATGTATATATGCACACACACATGCACATGAGTATCATGGGCTTTGTGGTGCAGTTAAATAGTTTTTCTACTACGCACTTATCATTTATGGATCTGGGGCGGCCACGGCGTCATCAGCTAACTTCATTATGGCCACCGATGACAGCAGTAAAAAAAATAAGGCAAAAACAATGAAATTATGATTATCATTGTCAACGTCATCATCATCATCATCGACATCATTGTCATGTATCTGTGCGCTAGTTTATTTTCATTACGTTAATTCATTTGTAAATATTTTCCTTAACTTTTACAGCCAGCGTCGCCTGCTCTTGTTCTTGTTGCTGCTGTTGCCGTTGTTGTTGTTGTTGTTGTTGTTGCTGCTGCTATTTTTTTTTGTGCTGTTTCCTTTGTTGTTTATATACCGATTTTCCAGCTTGCCGCCACACGCTCAGGCCCACACCCACACCGACGCCGGGCAGTGGGGCAAGGGTTTATTTTTGGATAGAGTAGTTGGGCGCTCAATTTCATTGGTATTTGTTGTCATTCATATGCCCCCATCAGCGCACAGTGGGCGCCTAATCGGCCGTTAGGGCAAAGGATTCTCATATAAATCTAACTGTAGCAATCATATGTGTAATTGCAGCTTGCAGGGCCCAATCTCACAGCTGGAGACCGTAGGCAAAGGCATGCGCGCGCCTTTTAATCCAGTTACATTAGCATGAAACCTGACTCGAAACATATTATCCAAACAAAGTTTGTCGTTTGAATAACAACAAATTTTTTTTTAAATGAAATTATTGTCAAGTTTTTGTATTTGTGTAAACTGCGCAAGGTGCACACCAAAAGGCTACGCGAACAAAACCTTAAGGCCTTGATTGAATCACGGGAAAGTTTTGTTGCTTTTAGAAAAAAATTGCCAAGGAGCTAAGATTTAAAATAAACCACACTTGAAAACTGTTGAACAAATTTTATGCTAACATTTTAAGTGACTAAAATTTGAATGCTGTCAAAAATGTTATGCTCATAGAGCTAATATTTACAATGAATACTGTTTTGAATATTGTTGTAAAACGTTCTGCTTAAGAGCTAACATTTGAATAGCTGTTTGAGTGTGAATCCATATCAATCTTATTGTAATTTGAAAAAAAAAAGCCTTGATAAAGCTTAAATTGATTGCAAATAGAACCGAGTTAAACAATTTTAAGATGCTTGACATTGCCAGCCCTACAGCTTAGCTCACAGGACAGCCTGAGAGACGAGCTCAGGAAATTAGTTTTCACACAAGTTTCAATGCTTTTAAGCACTGTGCATGTGAAGCGCTTGTTGTTGCTGTTTTAGCTGTGTGCTTAATGTATTTGCATGCCATTTTTTATGGCACAACACTTGGCGCATTGTCTATTTGCACCCCACTACACCCAATACAGCCCGCCCGCAGCAACCCCTCTGCAGCATTTGCATGTTTGTTTGCCTTTGGGTTAGTTTTGCGTTTGCAGAATCGCAATTGATGATTAAGCGTGTTGGCCATTAATTGCTTGGCCACTGGACGCGTTTCTGTTTTCTCTTCTTTTTTTTTTTTTATATATATATATAGATATATATTCTTTGTTGTTGCAGCTGGCTGGCAACACGGGCGAATAAAATTGAATTGAACTGAATAGCAGTGAATGTAAGTGAATGCATTTAGTGCAGCCGAAGGGCGCTGTCCATTAGCACTGGCATTTTCAAGTACTGAGGCGCGGCAGGTATGGCACTGATTTATGCAAATTGTTGCTTTGATAAGCCGGAAAAATTTAAGGTCTCGACCTTTTAATTGCGTTGACGTCAGCCAACAGCGCGTTGCCCAAACAAAAATGACAATGAAAATCAATTTACAGCAAGGAACATTGTTATTTTAACTGGCCACAAAACTGCGAGCTTAAAGCCCAAAGATTGCCCTATTCGGCAGTGCCCGACTGGAAGATATCCAGGATGGGCAATATGTTACATTCATACACAAGTCCTTGTTGTGCTTCTTGTTCGTTTAGTCCCACACTATTTTTGGGAAGTGCATTCTTCATGAACATTTTCAGGGCTTTTATATGGCATAGAAGAGTGCATATATATCAAAGCGCAGGGTGAAATAATTGCATACTCCATAGAGAATCCACATGCCTAATTTGTCCATCATTTTGGAGTTGTGCTTGAATAACATAGCCTCAAAATCGATATTTATCGATATTAGGAAAATAGTCAAATTCTCTAGCCTAAGTAGTTTTCAGCATCGAGGCGTTTACACAGTCGAAGAGGCGGACACGGACATGGCTAAATCGACTCAGCTCATCGTCCTAATTGAGAATATTTATACATTATGAGCTCTCTCTCTCTCTCTCTTTGCACAAAAAGAGCATACCCTTTTTTCGCATTTTGAATGGGTTCAGTGCAAAGTGTTGAATTAAATGGAATTCTTAAGGGCAGCGCTTTGAGTAATTTATTCAACAGCTCTTAAGCGTTAAGGAGTAAAACAAACTCAATGAAGAAAAGTGCTTTTTTTTTTGATAAGTGAGAACACTTTATGAACAGTTGTTTCTTAAGAGTATAATAAGATATCGTTAATCAGATGTTGCTCTCCAAAAAATGCTTGCAAGCAATTTTTAAACATATGTTAGGCTTTAATCATCTAGTAACAATTGATTACAGCACATGTCGTACACAATGTTTTGGGTGCAGCTGTCTGAGATAATAGCTGGGTGTAATTCATGAGACAAGCAGAATTTAATATAAGCAGCATTTAATATTAACAGCTGTAGCGTAACATTCAAATAGTCATGTTAATTAACAGTTGCTTAACAGAAAATGCGTGTGTTATTTGTACGGCGAGTTTGCGGCAGTAAGTCCGTGGTCATTTTATGAATGCTAGCTATGGCGGGTTTTCAGTAAATTGTTAAATTGCTTTCCAGACTACAGCGGAATGTTCTAGCCTGCATCTATGAGTGTAAATAGGTCTTGTGTTTCTTTAATCAGCTGAAGTTACGCTCAAGTTGGTTAAAAGTTCTCCCCGAGTGGCCATAACAAATGACAAAATAAGCAGTCGCATTTATTAGAGAATGTGCCTTGACGTAGTAGCTCCGGCGTGTCTTTTGGTCCTTTGTCCTGGCACGTTGGCGTTGTTATGCGGGAGACAGTCGGGAGCTCTATTTATTTGCCACTTCATTATTGCACACAAGGTGTCCAAGGACCAAGCAGAAAGGACATGACTGCCAACTGCTGGCTAACTGCTCGCCGCAGCGGCAGCTGTAAAATTAATTTGAAATGTTGAGTGGGTTCTGCGGTTGCCGGGTGCTGCGTGCTGCGTGCCGTGTGTGCTGGGGGCGGTATTCGTGACTATGAAAATGAAAAATGCATTTTTGTGGGTGCGCATATTTTGCATCAAGTAAAGTTAAAACAAAACTAAAGCAGATTTGCCTCAAACAGAGAAAGTTCAAGACTTTAAGACGACGAAAGAAAGCCGTCCTTAAACATTCGATCTGTCGAGAATGGCAAACTCATTGAGGAACTAAAAGTGAAAAAAAAAAACAATTGTAGACACAGTTGAACGTTCGGTTAAATAAAGTAACTTCTAAAGCCAAAGCATTCAAGCTTAAGCTTAAATTATCCCTTTGGCTGTTCGCCCCAAAAATTCCATTTAAAGTTTGCTTTACATTTTGAAAATGTATTTCGCTGTGCTCGCTGCTCGAAATCCTTTCATCAGACCGATGAAACCTTAAGCGGCGTGCCCTGGCAGGCCGCGTTTCTAAAATGCCTTTCGCAGCTAAGCAGTCAGGAGCCAGAAGCCAGGAGCCACCGAGGCTGGCATTTGGGGAGTATTTCAATTTTGTATTTTTAATTACTGACTGTGGCAACGATACAAAGCAACACTGACTAATTAACAGCAGCCCGCCCGACAGCCTGCCAGGATAGCAGGATGCCAATGGATAGCTGCGCTTGGCAGCCTGCTTAACTGCCAGCCAGTCAGCATAATAAGTTAAGCATACGAAGCGTTGCTGGGCAAATTTGGTTACTGTATACAAAAAAAAAAAAAAAAAAATTTAATATTAATAAACTAATTGTAGGCAGCACAAAGCGCCGACATCGTCGCCTGTGTATCCTTTAACCATGCGCTGAGTTCGGCCAAAGCCAAAGTTTTCATCGTATCGCTTTGACAACAACAGCAGCAGCAGCAACAACAACAACAACAGCAACAACAACAACAAGCAGCAGCAGCAGCAGCAACGTAGAAGAAGAACAACAAATCGCTGCTAACACTAAAAATAACAATTTCCGCTCTAATAAACATTTCCGCTTCGTGAAATTTAACATTTTACAATAAATTAAGTGAGAAGAAATAACCATAAGCCATAACCATATAGCATACACATGACCATAGATGATACACACACACACACACACACACACACACTCAAACTCAAAAACAAATTCCTGTTTTTTTGTGTGCTGTCTCCTGTTTAGGCCACTTTCTTATCGATTAAATGAATCTGGTTTGCATTTTGCTACAAGCTTATTTAATTTGTGCATATATTCAATTTTAATACTTTGACATGTTTAATTGATTTTCTCTTTTGAAATCTTTAAGTGAACTGAGGCGTAGAGACGGACATAGATTCCTCCATTTAAATAGCTCCCATAATTTCATTTTGTTTTCTGATAGCTTTTGAAACCCTGTATCTATGAAATGCTTGATCTCACTAGATCTATTCTGTTTAGATTATAGCTTGCGGCTTTGTGCAGGGCATCTACAAAATAAGAGCTCTTGATTTAATAATTGTTAGCTCCATTTGTTTTTCTACTCGTTTGCTGATTCAACAAAAAATGAAGCTTTTCATGTTTCTACACTTACCTATAAAAGCACACTCACACATTGACACACAAACACACATCTACATATTCGCAATTTTGTAACCGAAATGACTTTTGCATGTTTCGCCATAAGAGTGGAGATTGCCAATGTATGGCTGCGGGGGAGGGTCTGGGGTCCTTATAAATGTGTCGACTGTCACGTACTTATTAAATTAAAAACGATTACTTACTCAAATTTGCTGTCGCTTTGTTGCACTTAATTTAAATTGTTATTGTTATTATTTCTGTATAAAGTCAGCGCCAGTCGGCAGTCAGCAGTTGGCAGTCGGCAGTTGGCAGTCGGTAGTCTGGAGTCGGCAGTTGGGGTAGCTCGAAAATAGGTGGGCCTCTGGGGCTGTTGAGTGTATTTCAATTAAAAGGATATGCCGCAGGATGCGTTAGGAGGACAACGTAAAGGGACGGAGCGAGGGCGGTAGGCGGGGCTGAGTGCGCGTGGCTCTGACAGCAGCAACAGAAATGAAAATGGAAAATGCTTGAAATAATGAAATAAATAAAACTGAATTATAAGCACAACAAATACAAGAAAGTATAGCAACAAAGCTGAAAGAAAAGCAAAAATATAACAAAAATAAAATAAAAGAACAGAAATATTAAAATGAAAATGCGTCTGGCATAATTATATAAAGGAATTAAATAAACGAAAGCCACAGATTGGATTCAACCAGATTGTGCTGCAAAACAAAAATTACAAATTGTGCAACTTCAAATGCCCAACTTGACTAAATTGACTTGAGAACAAATAAGTGTAGCGAAATTTCACTATATACACATAACTTCTTATTTTTATGTATATGTTTTAGATGTTTCTCAACAAGCTGAAAATTATATTACCAAAGGAAGAAGAAGACGCAATTTACTGGCACAACTTGCAGAAAGTTTTTTCATACATATAAATTAAGTATAAAGTTGTTGTACCTCATTTTCGTTGAAAGGGCTGCACAGCTAAAAAAGGACGTTGACGAATGTGTGCGTGCGTGTGTGTGTGTGCGTGTGTGTGTGTGTCTGTCAGCTTTTTAATTGAAATGAAAGTGAATGCAAAGTGAATATACTCATAAGTCGGCTAACAGCTTATGCAAAGGGTTCAGTCTGAATTTCGTTTCGTTTCATTTCGATTTTGTTTTCAGCCTACGTTGCG